GTTCGTAGCTTCTAGCCGAATCAGCTCCACCGTTCGGGCAATCCTTCTTCACGTGTCCAGTTTGACCACAACCCCAGCAGACAACCTTCCTCTTTCCGGAGCTTTATTCTTTTTCCTGGTACCGACAGATAAAGCTGAATCCTTATATGATTTATTTTTCATTTCATTCAGTCTTCTCTCCTCAGTAATGAGCTTACTAACCATATCCGCATACACCACTTCCTTACTAAAATATTTCAGAACAGGTTTCATATGCTCATATGTCGAAGGAAGTGATAGGATGAGTCGGAGAGCTTTATCTTCATCTTCGGTTTTCACTCCAAGAGTTTCCAATTCTCATCTTCGGTTTTCACTCCAAGAGTTTCCAATTCAAAGACGATGCCGTTAAGAACACTCAGGTGATTTGACAGCTTTGTACCTTCCGCCATTTTCAACGTATGAAATTGCTCCTTCAAATATAACCTGTTGGATATTTTTTTTTCCTGGTACAATTCTTCAATTTTCTTCCACAACTCCTTTGTCGTGGACAATCCAAGCACATTAGCAAGAACATTTTTTGCTAGACACATGCGAATTTGACTTGTCACTTTGATATCCAGCGCCTCCCATTCTTCATCGCTAATCTTGGATTTTCTGAGTCTCCACTGCTATTGTCTTTTCCTGAATTCTTTCTGCTGACTGGTTTACCCTTCAAAACCATATACAGTCCAGACTGACGCAACACGTCTTTGACTTGCACTTGCCACAGTGCAAAATTCATTCTCCCATCAAATTTCTCAATCTCACATCTCATAGCCGATATGCTTACTTGTGCTTATAACAGTGAACCCAATAATTAGTGAAGTAAACCAATTCGGTAATACTCAGGAAAGATCACAATGATCTCCTAGACAATATTATCATTCCACGTAAAATCTCAGTTGGACGGAGGGGTCACAAGTGGTCCCGGGCCACAAGTGGTCCCACTTAAAATCCGGCCTTCTAGACAGAAGTTACATGCACGGTATATTATCAGAACTTTTGTACCTGAATAACTTCAATAATTATTGTCAGGACCTTCACCACCGGTACTCAAGCACACCAAAGCAAAGCTCCACCTGCTTCAAGACTTTCAAAACTCCACTTGCTTTTAAAATAAAATATTTCAAAACTCCACTTGCTTTTAAAATAAAATAATTTCTAACAACAGTATTTCTGATGTGGAAGATCAGACTAAGCCGCAACCACGGTGCATACTTATAATTTAAATTGCAAGAAATTATTTTAACATTAAAAGCTCCACCTAACAACTAGGCTCTGATACCAATTGTTGGGAAAATCGCTATTTTCCCGCCCTTCGGATCGGCTTTGTAACATCCCTTCCCGGTCCACCCGTTAACCCGAATGAACCGAGCCGAGACGCTACAATCTGGTTGAACTTATATCCTGTCATGCTGATATCATTCATCTTGTATGCACTAACTATGAATATTTAAAACACTCACCAAATTAAACTCCAAACTTCCAATATCTCCCAACTAATCATCATAACACAACAACACTTTAAATATAGTCATAAACTGATATTAAATCCTCAATAAACATTTAATATCCAGCAATTAAGTGCATTCATTGATCTATATTCAAGTCGTTCATGACCTTAAATCCATTACCAACACATATCCAGTAATCCATATTTCATATTCAAGTACATTTCCTCCAAATAACTTACACCACAATCACATTACAACATTGCCTTCCATTATATTTTCCCAATCACATTTAGCTCTAACATATGAAGTAATTGCATACATGCCATAAATCTTTAATAACCTCGCCAAAAATTTCTTACATTATACAACTCTCAAATCTACTATGACCAAATTCTTAATTATACAACTCTCAATCTACTATGACCAAATTAATCACTTCTGCTTTGATAGTACTCTTCGAGTCTTCAAGTAGCAACCACGATCTTCAACCTACGCGTGATAAAAATCGACGCGCTGAGTATAAAACTCAGTGTTGCTCATAATTCACATACTTAACAAAGTGTGGTGGCAACTCACTTAATATACAAATTTCATAAAGCATTGATCATCATAGGATTATTAAATTCAACATAAATGTCTCTTTATAGCAACGAATTAACTTCTAATTCATAAACATCAATAATTTAGTTCTAATTATCTCATAACTCCTTTACATGAACCTGTAATCACACATTATGATACTAGCATGATCTTACCTGCATTGTGTTGTTATGGATGAGATCAATAACATGTTACATAATCACACATTATGATACTATCATGATCTTACCTGCTGTTCATTGTGTTGTATGAATGAAATCAATAAACATGTAAGAATACATAATAGTATATTTCCGTTGTCTTACTTGCTATTCATTATGCTGTATGACTTATGCACTTTTAGTCACATCATAGTCACATCATCAATAAATATACTTTCATGATCTTACCTGATGTTCTTTATGCTGTAGGAATTCTGCAACTTTGATTAAACTCAGTGAATATCACAATGAATAAAGAAACATATAAGCACATACATATGTAGAAATCAACATGTACTCACATATGGAATGTAAGCACACATATCATGATACTTTCATTTTACCTTGATGATCTTTCTTGCTGTTTAGTATACTATATGATTCATGCAATGCAATGTTATGTCAAGATATCTGTATGGCTCCATAAGGTTATAGTGAAACCGAAGTGATAAGAAAAACTGTATGAAACTCCTGTATGCTTGGCTGCTATGCGCCTATATAAATCATATCACTCAACGGCCTGTTTTTTTTTTTTTATAGCCGGAGTACCAAACTGTATGGGCGCAGATCTCTACAGATCTGCTATTCTATGTTGCGACATAGCCTTATCTACATGGTTTCTACCTAACCTCAATGGAGCATATTAATGGTATGTCAATAGATAAAACAAATGCACAGTAACTGTGTCATAATTTGCATGCTTGTGTCATGAAATTAACTGCTTCATCATTTCATAAAATTTACTGCTTACCTGTATGCTAATAGCCTCTCCAAGCGGGCAACTTGTGTCATGTTAGTTTCACACCATTTGCATGCTTGCATTTTGTGTTTATACATGTATTCATGTTGTCTTTTTGCTTTAAAATGATTGAAGACATACAAGTTGAGAAAAGGAATACAATTGCATAGCATTCATAACTTCATACACCATAGTGTTTTTTTTAATGTGTTTACCTCATTTCACATCATTGCATGCTTGCATGTTGTTTTTGATACATGTTCTAAATTTGTCTTTTTGTTTTAAAATGAGTTGGAGGCATATAAGTTGAGCAAAGGATACAATTGCCATTGAAAAATGAAGTATCCAAAAGAGCATTTCAGAACACAATTCGTGAGCGCGCCATGCAAAGTCGCGAGCGCTGAGAAGTGCAAATGAGAGTCAGAGAGTTCCAGACACAATCGCGAGCCGCGCAAATGAAATTCGCGAGCGCGCGACGTGTTTTCCAGCCTGCGCAGGTCTGCTACTCTTTTGCGTCATATCTCTCAATATATAACTCCATTTGGGGTGATTCAAAAAACCCATGTTAAAGCTAACACATAGAGAACAAAATACTCTTCTATGACACTTCCTAATGTCCATCATTAAATAGGGTCAAAATCAAGGTGATGTTAAATGGTAAATTTTCCAGCAAAACCTGTTTCAGCATTGAACTCAATCTCTACTTCATTTATTCATTTCAATCTCATGCTTTTTCACCAATTTTCAGTCTTCTCATCAACATTAAGCAACATATCATCTCATTTCCAACACATCACACAAAATCATGTAAGGAAATGATATTAAACTAAAAGAGGATAGCACACCTTCACTCCAAAAAGCTTAAGCTCTTCTTAGCTTCCTTTTTCTTCTACCTTTGAGCCCACCTCTCCTATAAACATTGAGAATTCTTATGAATACTTCTAAAAATATTCACCAAATTGATTCCAAGTATGAAATTCAAGAAGGTTTACTTACTTGGATAGGAATAGAAAGTTGAATTAATGCTTGGAATCCTATTAAAATCTTCACCTAACCATTAAAAAGTGATGGAGAAAGGAAAGTGGAAGAGGGAAAGTAGAGGAAGAAGATGAAGATAAGGATGAAGAAATGAAATATGAATGGAACTCACGGGCGTACATCTCCAAAATTATCATTGGATTTTTATGTGAAAATTACCAAATGGTACCTCAGTGTCAAAAATGGTACAACTAATACCTCAACTTTATATTTTTAGTGCAAGCAAGTCCATAAATCCTTATTACTTTGATCTTTTTGTTTTCCTCAAGTTAAGTCCACTTTCTTCTCCTATTTCATTCTAGCCCACTCTTTAGACTCTAATGGGCTCGAACCGCGTTTTGGAGCAGCCCGACTCGACTCTAAAAGCAAAACGACCTCGATTCAATAGAAAAATGGGGACGTTACAGGCTTTCAAGCAGGAACAAATGAGAAAATTAAAATAATGAACTGAAAATTTAAAGAGAACACGATAATTTAACGTTGGAAAACTCCCCAAATGCGAGAAAAATCATTGTCGTTGCCAAACGGACAATCAAGAAAAATATTCACTATGCGGTAAATTGTTACAACCACAATTACAAAATATTTTTCTACCCGACACCATCAAAAACACCCCAAATCTTTTATACTCCAAGGGACTCCAAAGAGACTTGCTCTAAATCCCTAATATAAAACACATTTCAAGTATTTTTGGTATATTTGAAACTTAAACATTTGCTTCTCTTTTATAAGCCATTCATTTTATAGCCAATTCAAACACCCTCAAAAGCTCATCTCCCCGAAGTGGGATTGAGCTAATTTTTTTTTATTTGTTTTCAACAAAGGCGGCTAACAGTGTTGACATTTATGAATCCAGACCATCGAGAGGAGGTGTTTATGTTGATGTGGAGCTTATGGAGTCACCAAAATGACGTGGTATGGAATCAAAAATTTCATCAAGTTCAGTTTATAATGAGTAGGGCTAGGACAGTGCTCCATGAGTGGAAATTCGCTAGACACTATGGTTCAGCATATGCTACGCGCTCAATAGGGATTTTAGAGAATGAACAGCGCAGGAAGGCTCCTAAACTAGCGGAGTATAAATGTAACGTGGACATGGCAATTCTTTCAAATAGTCGCTTTGGTATGGGGATGATTATTAGAGACAGCACCAGTTCCTCTTATGCTGGTAAACTCCTTATTCAACCTAGCTATTCTGATCCACAAATAAGGGAAGCTTTGTGCTTTAGAGACGCATTAAGTTGGTTGAAATCTTTGCCTTATTTTCCTATTTGTGTAGAAACGGATTGTCAAATACTCGTTCATGCTTTGAGAGCTCCACAGTTCCTTTCGTCTTATTTTGCTTTGATAGTCAATGATTGTATGGCTCTTTTAAGGGAGCTGCAATTTATTTCTTTGGCTTTTATTAGAAAGTCAGCGAACCAAGTTGCTCATACAATTGTTAGGGCGGGTAGTTCTATATCTTGCATAATGAGAAGTATGTCCTCTTTTCTTATTTGATGTTTATCCTCTGATTTGAATAATATGAGCTGAGACTCATTCTTTCCTTTCAAAAAAAAAAATTATATATATATATATATATATATATATATAATTTTGGTAAATTATTTTTTAACTAATTATTTTTTAACTTAATTTTTATTTAGATTTATATTTGAAATTGTAAATATTAGTATGTGAGCATTAGAAAATAGTGGATGTATTTATCAATAACAACGATGAGTAGGTGGGATAATATTATTTTAAAGAAATTGCTAAACATAAAGGAAGAGTTAAAATTATTGAACAGTCTATAGTACAAAATAAAATCAATAAAACAATAAATTTATAATAATGAAATTTTATTTTCATCCAAGCACAAAAGAAGAAAATAACAAAAAAAATTATTTCCATTATTTTCCTAAATTATTTTTCTTCTCTCATTATTATCTGTTCTTCTTTTATCCTTTTTCCAAACGGAGTGTAAAAAGAATTCCAGTCATTAATTTACAGTTTATCACATATATGCAGCCCTAAAAATTAAAAAGGTCACGTGATGTATAGCCTCAAAAAAAAAAAAAAAAAAACCAAACTCCTTCCGAAAAAAAAAAAAAAAAAAACCAAACTCCTTCCGCGCCTCACTCTCTTTTAAATCCTCTGCGCTCTTACTTCCTTTCCCTCCCAATCCATTTCCCGCCTCTAACCCCATATATTAAAAACTCCCCAAATCTCTCCATTCTCTATCCCTCCTCCAAACCCTAATCTCTTTCTCCAAACCCTAAATTCTCTCTAACCATGAAGCGAAGAATTCGCTCTCTTCCTACAACCGAGCCCTATCTCAAATTCCTCAAGCCAGGCGCGTTAGCGCAACTCAGGGACTCCCGAATCAGCGCCAGATCTCACTCGGTCACATCAATTCCTCTCCTTCGATCCTCACCGCCGTCTTCTCCGTCGTCTAATACCTTACAATCTCAGACTAACACGATGGACGACTTCCCTTGCTTTTCCGGTAGGATCTTCGGCCCAAGATGTCTTCAACGGAAGAAGCTTGTTGCTGCTAAATCGGTGATGTTTCTGAATTCGAGACCTTCAAGTTCGGAGTCTGATTCGCCAGATCCAATTATTAACTTGTTAAACAATGATAGCATTGTTGTTGCTCATTGATTGATTTTTTAAGATGTTGATTATGTTCTATTTGTAGTTAAGAGTACTTATTATATGGGAAATTATCTTAGGGTAGAACTGAAATCAATAATAAATTTTCATAAATTTTCCATTTTAGTCTGGAGTTATTGATTAATTGATTGATTTTGTTTGTTAATGATGCCTGCCGATCACAAACCATGCGATGTGCCTGTGCTGATTTAGTGATTTAATAGATGATTATCACATAATTGCTAGTTTGAGTTCTTAATGGGTAACAAATCTTACTCTCAGAGACACTAATTTTGTCTTTCCCATTCTCCGTTTCTATGGAAATTCCATTTCTGCTTGTTCTGATCATCATTGTAATAGTCTTGCATATTCTGTGGCGTAAATAAGGGTGTAAATACATGGATCTGTTGTCATTTATGCTGTGGAAACAAGAATGCTTCATTGATGGGGAACATATAATGACTCCATTTTTAATTTTGTTAACCTTCTTAAACTTATTCTTACTTCTTGGTGCCTGAAGTACTTGACTTGTATCGAGAATGGTTTGGCTTTATCCTTTAGTATAGTTAGAGTTATTGCTATTGGTGAGTAAGTCCTGGAAATTACACATTGTTTGAAGCAACTGTCTTAAGATTTCAATTTGTTGCAAATAGACTGTAAATCAATGTCATTTTCCATGGTGTTTGGATCAACTGCATAAGGAATTCATTTCATTTGTACATGAATTCTAATGTTTGATATCTGATTATTAAGCATGGAACCATTTGCAAAGTCAACTAAATATAGTCATAATAATATCGAGTTCATTTTTATCAAATTGATAGGTTTTGTTTTAAGAATAACTATTTTATGGAATTAATAAGATAATATTCTGAAATGGATTTTCATACCAGATATAAAAAATATGCACTTGTAAATCAATTCTATAAAATTTTATGGAATTCACTTATGCTGACAACCTCTTTAGTGTTCTTGTTCTTTATGATTACATAGAGGCTACATGGGTTGCCAAGTTTGTCATACGTGCAAGATTTTTACCTTTGAACTTCAGATGCAGGTGAGATTCTGTGAATTACAATCTCTCAGGTGCTTTACAGAGTTATCTTTCATTTGGATGAGAAAGCCAACTCACTAACAAAATTTGCTGGTGGTTTGATTCAAAGAATAAACATGCATTTATGCATATACATATAATTTTATTTTATGAGGTACTTGTTACATAATAGTGGAACTTCATTTCTGGTGCTTTTAGAATGACGACATATGAAAAAGGCTTTCTTTTAGCAACAGAGGGCAGGTACATGTGCAAGTTTAGAGAAGTCAAAAGAGGTTTAATTCAGATATTTTGTGCCCCTGACCTTACTACATTTTGAAGGGTTTCTACAAGACACAGACCTTGATGTTTATTTCCAGTCCTCTTTCACTCTGCTCTAGACTATTGTGGCTCTAATATTCCTCTATATGAATCAAAATTTTTGGATTCAATAACACAAGCGGGCTCCTAAACTTTTGCCCACCTTTTCCATTAAGCCCTCCAACATTGATTTTTTTTGGGTTAATTATAATTTTGGTGTTTTAACTATGTAAAATGTTCTATTTTGGTGTCTCAATGAAAAATTTCTGCAATTGGATATTTGAAACCGTTAAAAATTTTTAATCAAAGTGTTCGTGACTTGTAGGCGGTCAAAAGTAGAAGAGAGAAAGGGAAGAGAAAACGTGTTTTCATAAGCAGAAGAGAGTCGGAGGCGGGGAAAAATCTTTAAATCAAAACGCAGAAAATAAGTGCAGTGCCGTCTCAATGGCAAGAGGAAAAGAAGTAAAGTGAAATATGGGTGTGGCAGTCGAGAATCGACGGCTGTGGATGATCCTGCCCTCATAGCTTTGTTTTTGGGTTTCAGGAATCCAAAATACCCAATTACATATTGACAACTTAACGTACTTTTCCATGTCACGTAAGCCATAGCCACTGCTTGAAAAATTTTAGTAGTTCAAACATTCGATCGTAAAAGCTCAAAATAGAACATTTTACATAATTCAAACACCAAAATTATAATTAATCTAGTTTATGTGGTGCTTGTTTGACATTGGATTCCATTTTTTTAAAGTTTTGTAGCTTAAATAAAAAAATAAAGATAATAATGACTAACAGTATATCAAAAAATGAAAAGAGTTTAATAAAAAGTTGTAAAATTCAATTTAAAAAAATTATGCAAAAAATGGAAGATTTTAAAAGTATATTTGAGACTTTGAGAAGGTATAATTTTTTTATTTCTAAAATATACCGTTCAACCTTTTTTTACCATTATAAAGGAAAGTGTCTTCTTATTTTTTTTAAAAGTTTAAATATTAATATATGTAAAAAAAAATAATTAATGTGCAATGATAAGTGATAGTTGTTCCTAGTTGTTCCTCTTTAGGAATAGAAGTGAGAATCAAAGGGCGTTGGTCAGAGTGGAAAGAACTCAATACCCTTAATTAAAAAGTTTAATATTCCAATCCTCATGGATGCTAGAGCACTTCAATAGACACTTTTACTTGTCAAATTAGCCCCTGCTTGCTAAAGGAGGTTTATGGCAATAATTTCTAGGCTTGTTAGCCAAGAAGGCAAGCAGGTAGAGAGCCTGCTCGGCCTGATGCTTGTGCACTTGGGCCTAGATGCCTGCCCACCTCTCTTTTTTTTTTTTTTTTTTTTTTTTTTTTTTTTTTTTTTTTTTTTTTTTTTTTTTTTTTTTTTTTTTTTTTTTTTTTTTTTTTTTTTTTTTTTTTTGTAATAGGATTACAACCGTTAGTTTTGCATCGATTTGGTCTGGTTGATTTCAACCCCAAAAAAAAGCACAGAGATTCCTAAAAAAATTCCAAAAATAGTAGCAAAATGATTATCATTATTATGTTCAAATCAGGCCACACACTTTTTGGCCGTGCTTGCAGTTGCAGCCGTTGCTCTTGCTGGTAGATATGGAATCCAAGCTTGACTGCTTGACAACCATTCAAGGCGTGACCTCCTAAACCTAAGCTTCTCAAGTTCTATGAGGGTGGTTTGCAACCCAAGATAACCAGAAGACAAGCAACTCTTAAAGTTATTCTTTCTGGTTAATTTTGTTACACACTTGATACAATAATTTTAGGGATTTAATTAGTTTTTGGGTCGATTAGAGCTGGAAATTGCTTTTACTCAGCAACTAAGTATAAATTGATTGAAAAATCATTTATGCGTCAGATTATAGATTATTATGTAACACAATTTGATTATTGGAATTAGAAGCAATTTGTATTTTCTTGTTTGCTTAAGTTAGACATTGATGAAAGATATGAAAGAATTAAAGATTTAAACTTGAGAACTTGGAAAGATTGTGCTACTTGTTGTAGGATATATCTGTTTTGCGCCTGATTTAAATTCTTTCTGTTTAGATCTTGGAAGAATGCTTGTTTTATTAAAATTTAAATAAAAATTTTATCTTTATTTTTTTTGAATATTTGCTTATCTTTATTTTTCAGTAGTTCTTTTTTTGGAATATTGGATTTGAAATGAGCAAACAGTTAGCTTTGCCTTTTAATCTGCCAACAGAACAATCTATAAGTTTTTACCTTGAAGAACTAATAATTTGTTTGTCTTTTTTTCTTTTACTTGCAGATCCTCTCCAATTAAAGTCAGTATTTGAGTCTTCCTCTATCTCCCTGCAACTGTAAGCTATAGCTCATTGCTCACCCACTGAATTATAACCATGGCAAAACCACTAGAAACTTTCCCATAAACCCTAACAAAAATCTCATCTTCATATAAATAATTCAGCCACTCAATCCCTACATTACTAATTTTTCTTAAATGCCTTTTCTCTAGGCATGGCCGGTTCAATGAACCGCCGGTTTCGGTTCATTGAACCGCCAGTTCGAGATGTTAAAATTTTGAACTGGAATCGACCCTTGAACCTCCGGTTCCGGTCGGTTTCCGGGTTCCCGGCATGGTTCCAGTACGGCTCCGATGAACCGGACTGGTTCGATTACGCGTTCCGATTTCGGGTTCCGGTATTACACAAATTTTTTAAAAATAATTTTTTAATTTTGATTCCGATTCATAATTTGAATAATAATTTTAAAATTGTTTTAGATTTATTAACTTAAATAAATTATTATAAAATTGTTTAAAACAAAAACTTCTATTAACTTAAGAACTATTATTTACAATTAAAATTTACAAAATTACTGTAACTCACTTAATATAGGAAAATTTATAATTTTTTTATTTTTGGGCCTTTGAATTAAATTAAAATTGAAAATTTTTATTAATTGCCTACGTATCCTCTTGAAAATTAGAGAAAATTCTAAACCCACGTAGTTCTTTTTTCTTTTAACATTGGAAAATAACCTCCCCATTAATTACAATTAATTTTAGTTATCGTGCACTAGTCCCGTTAATGAGGTTCAGAATCATCATCATCGACTTGAATTTTGCTGGTCTTGAGTTCTCAACGCCGCTCTAGTCCAATCGTCAACACACTCTTGCATTTCCACATATTTGGCGGATAATCTTGGCCGTGCTGGGATCTTAAAAATTTGTCCACCCGCACTAAGAAGCTTGTTCCACTATCAACCAGTAGAATTGGCAAACAAGAATATCTTTTTGCAATTGAAAGCTAAGACTGGAAAGCGATTTGCATTTTTTCCACCAACCCAAAATATCAAATTTTGTTAGGTCTCATCCGCATCATTCACCTAAAAAAACTCAAAATCTTGCTAATATATGTCTCAATTTCTGTGTATGAATGTGGACCCTTCCTTGTTTTTTTTTGAAACCATTTTGCATGAAGGGTAAAATTGTGTTTAGAATGAAATTTGCCCGGATTGTGTAGTTTGTGGAGCTGATTACTTGAGAAAGGGAGATACTAATTTAGAATATTTCATCATACAATTGACGAATTATACCTTTAAAATATTATTAGTAAGAGAAAAAAATAATCGCCTCAATTATTAAAAGATTCATAATAAAGACGAAAAAAATTCTTGTAATGCAA